TTTTTTTTTAATATTTGTGTACAATGAGTGGTGAATACCAAAATTTGCATTACAATTGTCAGCACTTAGTCCCGATACTTGGTTGAGTGACAGTTTTAAAGAGTTCATAGACTTCTTAATAGCTTCAAACATACCATCGGCGGATTCATTAGAATTTTCTAACAGTTTTTGTTCGATTCCTTTAGGTATGGAAAAATATTGTATCACCAAAGGAAAGATTTTAATGTTCTTTTTGTTTGATGCATTTGTCTGAATACGGAAAAATATATCTTTGTCAAATCATTTATTACACTTTCCACGGAATAGGGACCTAATACATCCGTCACTCCGTCCGTTTTTTTTGGCTTCAGCTTTAAACCTGTGTTTTGGAGTTTCTTGGTGTTGCTTAATCTATGTATAAAAAGGAAAATTAACCAAAGCAATAATATTTTATATAGAACACTTCATATTGAATTATACTTTAACTTAAATATCACTGTAAGCATGTATGCAATATTATAATAGAAATAAAAAACTACACAGACCGCTTTAATATGTTCATAATATTAAATGAAATAATTCACCTGGCCAATGCCACCTGAACCGCTTGTAAAATTCACTGCACAGATTGTACACCTTGCATTAGTTTTATTTTGGGAATCACTTGTTACCCATCCGTACTGTTTTTCCCACTCGGGTTTGTATTTTTGCATAACTTTTAATTTGCTGATTTTCGTTTTTTTTGCCGTAGCTGCTATATCACTATCAGAAGAACGCATTTTGGAAAAAGTAACATTTACTTTGCAATGGACAGAAAACTTGACTTTTGTAAGAGATGGCACGAGTAATTTGATGTTTAAGCGATAGCACATGCCATATATTTGTAAGAGATGAGACGAACATATTACATTTGTGAAAGATGGCAAAAGTAACATGTATTGGAGTGTTTGGCAATTAATGACAATTTTCATCGTACCTTCATTTTAATTGAACTTGAACTATCGCCAAATAGTTGCTCGCTTGTAAATGAATGAAATAAAGTATTTTCGATGCTTTATTTTTATACAAAAGTATAAAGTATACTTTTGGAAAATAAAGTAGGATACTTTATAAAGAATTGGCAACCCTACTCGTGCCCAATGATTCTAACGAACTGAATATAGCTGATGCTTTATCGATCAAACTACGGAGTTGTTGATCGATCAAACTACGAGTTGTTGATAGTTTAATGTATTGTTTAAATCGTGATATATTTGAAAGTATAGGTTAACGAGCGACAAGTTGAGTAAAAGATGCAATAAAAGTAGGCAGCGACAACCGTAGCAAGAATGATGGCGTGGAAACAGGAGTTCCGTCCTGCCCATGTTGTGCTTAAATGCAAAGTAAATCGAAGAGAATAACTACCAACTACTACTGAACGTTTAGTACAGGCAACTTATGCAAAAAATAATTTTGAAACTGCATATAGCTAATAAAGTGCGATAACAATTGCTGTTAACAGCAGCGTTCACAGAATAGAAGCGTTGACTGAATAGCGGCAACG